GTATAAATTAATCTTTATATATTATAGTAAATTATGATTTCCGTCCCTATGTTTTGTTAATAATTTTGATTTTAATTTACTGCAATTTTTATATTTACGATTTATAATTTATTTATTTTTTGGTCCATATGATTTACAATTCTTTATTATTTTAGTCCCTTGTACTTTAAAGGTATGGATTAGTCTAGGGACAAAAATAGCAATAAATTACAAATTATAGGGATAAAAATGCAATTTCTAAACCACAGGGTTGAAAAACATAATTTTAACAAACCATAGGGACGAAAAAGGTAACTTACTCTATAAATTAGTAATTCCTTCTTATGCTTTATCAAAACTATACAAATAGTAGTTTTAATTTAGAAATTATGAAAATTGTGAAAAAAAATCTTATCAAAAGTGTATTTATAAAATAGTGATAAAAAATCGTATAGACTTGACAAAAAATTGTGAAGTAATTAAAATTAAAAAAATATAAACCTAAAAAATGCAATAAATTTTTTAAGGGATTCAAATAGTGTTTTTGTTACAATTATATTTTTAACAATATATTTAATTTAATTCAAAATTAGAATTATTTTAATTACTAAAATTATTTTTTATTATGGTTATTTTCAATGGATTATATGGTTTAAAATGCTTCTCGCCATTTGCAAATTGACTTTTTTCTCGTTTGAATCTGACCCTATACATACTACATATAGGGGGGCAACCGTCTATAAGTTAGAAACTTTATGAATCAATATTGAACACACATTTTTAACTACCATAATTGTCTACCTTATCAACCGTTTCTTAAAAAAAACTCACTTTTTTCCATTTGGAATCACTTGATCGTAGGGATGGCAAAAAAAACCCGAAACCGATGGTGAAAACCGAGAACTGAAATTTTCGGGCCGGGTTCGGGGACATTAACGGGGACGGGGCGGGAATCGGGGACAAATTCGGATATTTTTTAACAGGAACAGTGATCACCGGCCCAGTTCGGCCCGATATATATATATATATATATATTAATTTTAATTTATATACATATATATATATATTATCATTAAAAGAAAATAGTAACATTAAAATTTAAAAGATTTTTATCCATTTTAAGTAAACAACCCAAATAAAGCTCATGAAAAAGTCTAGTTTATTTGTCTAAAATCGTGATTTTAGTTGTATGATGTTTGAATTCATGTTTAGTTTTATATTGTAATCTAATATATTGTTTGTAATTGGTTCGATTATGTTTGAGACATTTGAAGTTACATCTTAAAAAAAATTGTAATTTACTTTTAATTGTGAAAATTAGCATATTGTAATTTTTTTTCAGATCGGTTTCAGGTTCGGTTATAACCAACGGTGAAAAAGAGGATTTTTACCCTTAACGGGTTCCCCAATGGGGGTCAGGGAAACCGCGGGGACCCGATGGGGATCCCCGACGGAGATCGGGACTGTTTTAGCTATCAGTTTCGGGGACGGGGATACCAATACCGGCCCGTTGCCATTCCTACTTGATCGATGTAATATTTCGTTGGTGAACACGACATTGTATTCAATAGATATCGATCTCATGTGTGTGTTTCATTGGTGAAACAACATTGTATTATCAAAACAGATCAACCCAATATGTTGTTTCATTGGTGAAAGAATGTTGAATTATCAAAATATATCAACACACTGTGTGTTATTTCATTGGTGAAATAAAGTTGTTGTTTCAAAAGAAAAACAAAAAATGAGCTTTTTAAGGAAAATACTGATTAGATAATTATGAAAGTTAAAAATATGTGATCAATATTGGTTCATAGAGTTTCTTACGTATATGACGTTTTTTATATGATTTTGGATTTATATATACACACAGACTCATACAAGGACACAATTAAATGGTAGGATGGAGCTTCAGTGAGTTTCAAGTGTAAAATAATAGTCTCACAAATCTCATAAAACAACATGGTCTCACATGATCACAAATCTTATTAAATAAATAGATGTAAAACAAATGTGGTAAGTTTGATTCTTAGTGATTCTTTAAAAATTTAACCACAAGGGTGGTGCCTGATTGGTTTGAGCTTGACTCTAAAGATCAAAAGTATCAGGAGGTTCCAGGTTCAAATCCAAGAAGGAATAAAAATCCCTTTTGTGGCCATGGAGGTTCAAATGCGTTGACTCCGGGGATATCTGCAAAACTTGTGATCGTCCTGAGATTAATCAACTTATATAACAGGTTAGATATCCAGGTTAATAAAAAAAAAATTATCGCTTGATTTGCCCGTACTTAGCATGCATATAAAATAAAGTAAATTACATATTTGGTCCCTGTGGTCCTAGATATTATTTAGTCTGGTCCCTATAAGTCATTTATGAATAAAACACCTTTTATAGTATGCATATTTTTGTTCAATTATGGTCCCTTTCATTAACTCTGAAAAAAGTTATTGTTAACTGCAATTATGTGGCCCTTACACAAGGAGAATTTGGTATTTTATATGTATTAGAAGGGTGCTCTCGTGCAATGCAGCATTTTTAATCTCGATTTTAATGTTTAGTTTTTATTCTTTGTCTTTATCGATATAATAGAATTTTATGTGGTTTTGAGAAATCGATAATGTTTTTATTTTTGAATGAGATATAAATTTGAAGATATCATAAAATTTTTAAAAAAACAAATCGATATTAGTATCAAATTAATTATTTAATAGTTCCCGTTTTTTGGTGTAACTTCTTTAATTAAATTTTTTATTACAATTAAATTTAGATTTATTGACAAAATAATTTATTTTTGGTTTAATAATATAACTTTTTATAAATATAATAATTAAACATTCTGTTAAAACTTAATGGTTATCTTAATTATATTTTAGATTTTCTATATTTAAAATGAATGTTTTATCTCGTATTTGATTATATTTATCTGCAGTTAGTTACACGAATTTAGATTGAAGCTTTAATAAGTTGTACTTACGTAAAATTACTTGTAATCTTGAATTTTAAGTAATATGCATCAATAAACAGTACTTCATGCATAAAAAATGGTTTTTAACAGTTTTTGTCAAATGCTAAAGCATATAGTATAGATAACTGTCATTTTAGAAAAATAAAACCCTAGTTCTAGTGTCTCTCTCTCTCCCCCCTCTTGCGTTACTTTTCTGAGGAACCCGTGTCTCTCCTGGCTCCCTACTCCATTTATGACCGACGACATAAATGGACAACGATTTCACATGAAAACCCAAACCTTCAACTTGTAGCTCAATTAGCAAAAGGTGGTGCGACTTTGCCCCAAATAAAAGACAAAGCTTGTGTTTGATATCAGCCCCCTTCCATGCTAGCCTCACCCGCTGAGTGAGCCAAAAAATGCTCCATCACATTGGTGTCCTTGTAATTAGGTTTCATATGGGACCAGTTGGGTTGTCAGTGATCATCCCATACATCAACTAGATCCCTACATGCCATTAATTCACTTAGTAGACGAGCTCACGAGTCACATAAGCAATTAATATGGTTTGAGGTTCGAGTTTATTGAACATAAACCATTACATATTCAAGGTTCCATGCAAAACAAGAAGTTAGGTTTTAGACTATGTGTGCCATGTATTCAAATTTAAAAAACCCCTCCCCGACCTTAAGAACTCGTTTCATACTCAATATCCAGTCCCTGTATCTGCAACTTTTAGTGTAAGGGGGTGTTTGTGATTGCTTATTTGAAACAACTTATGTTTTTCTACAAAAACACTTATTAACTTATTATAAGTTAGAAGGGTTTAAGTTCTTCAGAAACTTCTTATTACATGTTTGACACCGGTATAAGTTGTTTACCCTAACACTCAAAAGTGTTTATTACCGGTGTCACACCGGAATAAGTCAATAAGTTGTTTTTATAAGCAATTCCAAACACCCCCTCAGTTGTTTATAAGAACCAAAATCAATATAATCCGATACCCAAAGCCATAAGAACATCTTTAACAGATTCTTTAAAATGGAGATTTTGGAAAAATAAAATTGTTCCAACATATTATGTAAAACCTTCTAAAAGATGAAGAAAATAGAAATGAGAGCCTGTAATTATTCAAATTTATAGAATTAATAAAAAATGATTGATTAAGAAAGAGAAAATCATTTTTTTTATTCTTTTATGAATGATAATCTTTAGAATTAAATATCTAGAAAAGAAATATAATATTTTGTGAATTGTCTTAAACATTTAATTATCTATACTATATTATAAATTATTTGACAAAAATTCGTAAAAATATTTTTTTTATGTACAAACTATTGTTTATTGATGCATATTACTTAAAATCCAAGATTACAAGTAGAATTTACATAAGTATATCTTATTAAAACTCTATATTTAAATTCGTATAACTAGCTGCAGATAAACATAATCAAATACATGATAAAAATTATTGTTTAAATATAAAAAATCTAAAATTAATTAAGATAATTATTGAGTTCCAGTAGAATACTTACCAAAAATAAATTAGTTTATTTTTAAACTTCAATTAAATTATAACAAAAATAAATAAATTAAAGAAATTACATAAAAAAGATAACTTCTAAATAGTTAATTTGATACTAATATCGATTATTTTTTTCAAAATTTTATAATATCTTCAAATTTATATTTCATTCAAAAATATTTTTTTTTTTCAAAACCATATAAAATCATATTATAATATCGATATAATTAAAAAATATTTTATATTATTTTCAAGAATTTTAGAGAGGCTCTAACTATAATCTATAAAATATTGTTTGTTGTCAATTTGGTTATATTTTGGAAGTTTGACTTTGTAAACACACCGACGGTGATGGCATTTCTGTCATTTAACTTGGTCAATGGATTTCTTTTGACGATTTATAATGCAGTGGCTCTACCGTAATAATCTCATAAATCAAACCCCATTGTGTTTTACTCCACTCTCTCCGCCATCATTATGTCCGTTTGAATGCTCTTCCTCTTTCTAAACAACAATGCTCTTCCTCCCTCAACAGTAGAGATTTTTTTGCAAGATCACTCGATTCTCTCACTGTGATCTTTGTTTTTAACTTCTGATCTCGTCGGGAACAATGGCGGCTTCCGGTAATACATCGTCCACTGCAGGCGGTGTCAGTCTCACCTCTAAAACACCAATACTTGGGCAAAGACTCTATGTCATTATCGCCATCACAGTTGTAGTCGTGACGGTAATTCTCGTAGTGATCTTCCTCTGTATCCGTCGGAATTTGAATACCAAGCGACGTCGTAGGATGCGTGTGAAGCACAGCTCAGGACTGTTGCCTTTAGTCTCGGCGGCGATCAACGTCGAATCGATTGAGAAAACATCCAAAATTAGCGTGTTCGAGAAGGATGATGACGAGAAAGAAGAGATTAAACCGATAATCAAAGTTGTTGAAGGTAAAATAGGGAACACGAATTCGGGTAGTAACGAATCGGGAACGAGTCGGAGCGAGGGTGCGTCATCGTCGGTGTCGGCGGAGAGTTTGAGTAATTTAGGGTGGGGAAAGTGGTACAGCTTGAATGAGATTGAAATTGCTACGAATAATTTCGCGGACGAGAATGTGATCGGAGAAGGAGGGTATGGGATTGTGTATAAAAGTGTTCTACGGGATGATTCTGTGGTGGCTGTGAAGAATCTTCTGAACAACAAGTTAGTTTTATTCTTCCTCTTATCTAAATTCCATTCCATTTCAACTCAATTTGAATATATGCTAACTGCATACCAATCATGCTTCAATTTCCATTAATTATTTTGAGAGTTTAATTGCATTTATTGGCGGAGACGATCTGAGTTTCTTAGATCTGAAATTGATACTCGCCGGTGCTTGCAATTGGCTTTTCTTTCTAAGGTAATACTCGACGGCTACAAAAGGGCTATAAAAACACTGTAATCGGTATAAAAGGGTTTCAAACAAATTATACAACAAATTGTCACTTTGTTCTTCCCAAATGTAGTGATTCTGTGTTTGTACTTTTATATGAAAAATGAGATAAAACGGTTTTTAAAAAATCAATAATTTAGTTAAATAATAAAGCAAATAGTTGCTTTATCATCCCTCTTTTCCAAAAGAAAAGCTCTGATCTTTTGGGATAAATTATGTACAGATCACCACACCTTGATTTTTATTTTTTAAAAGTGAAATTCCATCCATTTTTCGCTGAAAATTTGAGTCAGTTTGTATACAAAATTTGAAAGCGAACATTATCTTATTTCCCCTTTAACATTTTTCAGCTTCACTTGTTCCTCTTCTTCTTTTTCGAAAAGAACAAAAAGAATATTTTTTTAAATTGAGAGAATACAATTATATAGCAATTATAATTATTTATTGGTTTGGGAGCTGATCTTTGAATGACAGTAGCTTTCACCCAAAGCATATTGGTCCTTCCATGAAAAGAAATTCTAAGCTTGTCATGATCCTCCCAATAAAAAATACCCCATTCTTCCTGAGAAAATTTATCTGAAATAAAAATATCTGGGTTAAATTCGAATTGGGAACAGACATTTTTATGGCACGAAATGAGCATTAGCCAAAGGCAAACTTGTAAGGGTGGGCTGATTTGATCCGGATGGAATAGGATAAATAATCCTTTTAATCTACTTAGTTATTTTCTTTTTGTTGCCAACAGACACCATATTTATGAAAATGCAAAATTGTGAAGACTTGGTTAGAGCTTGGCCATCTTTTGAAAACTCTTAGGAAATTGTATTAACTTTGAGAACTTATGCATGATGTGTTATTTCATATGATTTTCTTCCATCTAAGACGAGGATTTAGAATATTGATTAACATGTATTTGTTTAATGTGTGTGTTTCACATGTACTCGGTTCACAATATGGACACTTTTTACGTGTTTGTGAAACAAAAAATACACGTACAGAAGTTTCACATTGTAAACCGAATACATATGAAACAAACATAATGTAAAAACAAATATATGTTTAAACAATACATTAAATACTATATTTCACCGGAAAAGAAATCATGTAAAACAATACCTTAAGGTAGAAGTTCTAGTTGATCTCACAAGTTTTGGAGTTTTCAGATGGTTAGAAAAAATAATCATTTAGATGAAGGATCATATTCGTTTTGGTCTGAGCTGCTTGTTATTTTCCCCCTATTTTCTTTCATAGTTATTCATCTCTTTGGAAAATGGATCTGAGCACATCTACATTGGAGTTGGTCGCCTCGAATAAATTAGAGATTGGGTCACATGGTCGTTGGTGTAAAGAATGTGCGTCTTGCTTGAGAAATGTGGTAGTGGTTCCAGCAGGAAAAGGAAATATTATATAACACGCCTCAGAGTTAGGAGAGAGTGTTCTATATGTTTAATCTCTTATTTTAAAATGTTTGCTACTTGTTGTTTTTATACCCTTGGTTTGCAGCTAATACCTAAAGTTCACGATTTCTTATTTAGTTGTGGGGCTCGAGGTGGCTTTAGATGTAGATGATGCGTTACTCTTGGTGCAAACCATTTTCTTTTATTACAGTTTTGCAAGTGTATCCTGAAATAGCACAAGAAAAGTGAGGCTGTTGTTGCATATTTTGTTTGGTGTCATACTCTAAGATATTATGTCCAACCCAGCTTCCGTATTGACTTGACTTAAAGGTGACCCATGAATCACAAATGCTCGAATTTTACTAGCAACTTTGTTATTTTGTAGCGTTTGGAATGCAGATAGGATTGGACTAGACATCACTAGATTGGACCAGATGGGAGAGAGTTAAGTAGACGGTGAAAAGATTGTGGAACATTTTAGGATTTTGATTTGACATGGGTAGTTCAATAATTTTGCAAGCTTGTTCTATATCCCTGATTTTTGTTCTACCGGTTTTAGTGGGATAGAAAAAATGCATTTCTGTCGGTCTTGTCCAATCTGAGTTTATTTGTCGCACCAAACATGGGACCACAAGTTTCCGTTTTATCTTGTCTTGTCCTATATCCTCTCACGTACCAAATGCACCGAATGTGTGTTATATTCCATATCATGGCATACTTGAAACTAATACGACTGAAATGATGCATCATGTGCAGCTACTTCAACCTCATAATCTCACATTTTGTAGGGGTCAGGCAGAGAAGGAATTCAAGGTGGAGGTTGAAGCCATTGGAAAAGTAAGGCATAAAAATCTAGTCGGTCTAATGGGATTTTGCGCAGATGGTGCTAAGAGGTAGCTATTGCTTGCATTTAGGCTTCATTTTCGTCTAGTCTACTCCTTCGGATTAAAAATTAATACCCGTTTATGATTATGGCACGATGATTTATCTACACGATTTATTAGTCTTTGTAATTGTTGCAACATTCTTTTACGATTTTCACCATAGCAAGTTATGCAACATCTGAAGATCAGTTAGGCATATTTAAGGAAAGGTATTGCTAGATGACGAAGGATCATGTGAGAATGGGAGTTAAGGTGAGAAGTGTAAGAAGGGTCTTAGACCCTTGATCACTTTTAATCTCAAACCAACCTATGAATTGCGCTTTAGAAGGAAATTGATCCGGTTTATCACATTACACTTGATCCAGTGCTTCTCTTCAATTAGGATTGATCCCTTCTTACCCTTCTCACCGTAACTTTCATTCTCGCCGCCACCCAACCCATTGCTAGATTGGTCTATGTAATGGCTAAACGAGCGGCATCAAGAAAGAACTCAAGTAATTGAGGAACTACTATTAGGTACTAATATACTGTGGCTGCATCAAATTCTCATGCAGGCTGCTCGTGTACGAGTATGTTGACAATGGAAATTTGGAACAATGGTTGCACGGAGATGTTGGACCTATCAGCCCTTTAACTTGGGACATCCGAATGAAGATTGCAGTTGGGACTGCTAAAGGGTATGCTCGTATTCGTCTTCCTTTTTTCTTTCTTTCAAGCAATAATCATGTGCTTTTGAGCATTTAAAACTTGCAATTTCTTTAAAACTTGAGGAAGGTACGGTCAAACATTGTTTTTTTTTTTTATCATTTTCATTTTCTGGTTCCCTTTAATACGTATCCCATAAGTCAACTGCCATGATAAGAACGCTTGGAGATGGAGGATTGGGGTAGCAGACTAGGAATGAGACCTATTGTTGGTATACTCGGGCTGATGGGAGTGGGACAGATTAGGAAGGGGTAGAGGGCTGGCAATTTAGGCCGGGGCTGTGTTTTTGGCTTACTTGTTCCATGGTATCTCTTAGTATTTCTGCTACCTGTTTGCTCATACTCTTACACAAGCTTTTGTTGGGGGGGGGGGGGGGGGTTATGGCAACAGCCGTTCTACTTTTTGGGGTAGATGTCAAGTTTGCATACATCTCATCCTCTCAATACTCTATTTTCGCGTGGGATTTGCTGGGTCCATTTGGTTTGGTTTGGTAAGTCAACCGACATGATCTAGAACATAAGTAGCTTTGTCTTGTTTCTTGTCTATGCCTCGTCAATGGAAGTGTTCTATTGGATATGAAGTCTGATTTGCATAAAGTTCACAGATCTAGGTTTTGTAAGAAAATGCTTATAACTTAATGACAGTTAGGGGGCCATCAATTTACTATATTGGGTTCTCAGTTCTCTTATAATAGAACAACTTTTCTCCAATCAATGTATTACTATCGCATTAACAAATATGTAAAAACGAATATTACAAATGACCGTAAATGTAGATAAATGTGATCCTAACTTATTTCTTTGCATTAGACTGGCATATTTACATGAAGGGTTGGAACCAAAAGTTGTCCATCGTGATGTTAAATCAAGCAACATTCTTCTCGATAGAAAATGGAATGCTAAAGTATCTGATTTTGGACTTGCCAAGTTGTTAGGACCCGAGAAAAGCTACGTAACCACACGAGTAATGGGCACATTCGGGTTGGTAACTTCACAAATCTAGCTCTTTTTTCCTCCTTTCATACACTTCCATCTTATACCACACATATGATCTCCAGATATGTGTCGCCCGACTATGCAAGCACAGGAATGCTAAATGAGGGCAGTGATGTCTATAGTTTTGGAGTTTTACTCATGGAAATAGTTACAGGGAGGAGCCCCGTTGATTATTCCCGAGCACCTGGAGAGGTATGACTACAAATATTAAAGTTTCCAGCTTTTCGCCTCTTGTATATATACCAAAGCCTAACCATCCCAGTATATCCTGCTTGAGAACAGGATGAAGTGGGGGAGAGGATGACGGGTGGGATGTACGCAGGCCCGACCTCTACCCCAAAGGATAGAGTCTCAAGCTGGATAGGTTGGGGTAGGGGGTGGCAGGTGTGATGTTTGCAGGCCTGATCTCTACCCCTAAGGATAGAGTCTCAAGCAGGATGGGTAAGGGAGGGGGTGGCGGGTGGAATTTATGTAGGCCTGATGTCTACCTAAAGATAGAGTTGTTGTTCCAGTGAAGACTCCCGAGCCTCTTGTTTACATGTTTTTAGTTAACTCTTTTGTGTTGCATTTCTTTTAGATGAATTTGGTCGATTGGTTTAAAGGGATGGTGGCAAGTCGTCGTGGGGAAGAGTTGCTAGATCCCAAGATTAGCGTACAACCTTCTCCAAGAGCTTTGAAGCGTGTATTGCTTGTGTGCCTTCGTTGTATAGATATGGACGCAAATAAGCGCCCGAAGATGGGCCAAATTGTACACATGCTTGAGGCAGATGAATTCCCTTTCCGTACAGTAAGTCTCTTCTAAATGGTTACCTTTTTCACTACCGAACATAGTTATACAAATGCCAAAAGTTAGCCATAATGGATTCACTATTCCACAATGGCTGATAACTACAATAAACGACCTCAGTAAATCTCACTCAAAAGTAGGGTCTAAAACCTTTCTGATCCAAGGGGTAGGGAGGTGGTTTTCGTGAAGACCCACAACTTGCAATGTCTTAAGAACTAATAAGGATCTTGATTTGTGAGCGAATTGTCTCTCACAAATAGTCTCATTCCTTTGCAAATCGGTCATTTTTGCGAGGGGTTTTTTTTTGTTGTTGTCACCTTCACTAATTGCATGGCCCCCTGAAGATAACAGTAAGATAAATCGTCAGGGACTCTAGAAAGACTCAAACGGGACAACGTATGGGAGGAGCCCCAAGGCATAGCCTTTATTTGTCAGCTGAGTTGGCCCTCAAGATTTTCTTGAAAAAGGGCTTCCTTAATGAATCTGTTTAAGTTGATATTATAAGTGAAAATCGTCTCTTGGAGGCAATAGCGACATAATGTGCATTGCTTACATCTTGCAGGAACCTCGCCCGCCAAGAGACACGGCTGCGAGTAAAGCGGCTTTGGCAAACTAGTTTTTTCTGGAGAGTCCATGTGTATCGGTTTATGCATCATGTTATCGCAATTGGTTCGTTCTTTCTAGCTAATATGATGATGTATACATATGCAAATGCTACAAAATATTCACATAAAAAAAGCATTGTAAATATAGTGAGTTATTTGCAATTTATTTCTACTTCGAATTTATTTGCTACATGTACACAAATATACTCCATATTAAACATAAATAGCTAATCATATTTGAAACACTAAAATTTTATTATTTGTTTAATATACGATCTGAAATCAAGATTTTTGTATTATTAAATATTGACAACTTGTGAAAGGGTCATTGCATCTTGCATTCAAGTTGGCTTTTGAAGTTGAATTTATGGTTGTATTCTATCTTCAATTATTTGATACCTTAATTATGTTAATGAATAGATAATAGGTGCACCAAGAGGCCCTTTAATTAGTATATGTATACAAAGAGTTTAATTCAGGTGAGACCAGTCTGTTTTTGTGAGATGTGTGAGACTATTTTTTTTACTTGAAACTTCACAGCAAAACACTGTGAAAGGAAAAAAAATTTGAATCTTCACAACAAAAACATTGTGAATGTTTCCTTCACAGTATTTTGCTGTGAAGTTTCAAGTGTAAAAAAATGATCTCACGTGATCCCAATTCTGTATACAAATTAATTAATTGAAATATTTATAGAAATGATGAACGTGTATTTATTAAACAAGACTAGTTAATAAATAGCAAGGAGTAGAAAAGAAAATGCACAGGCTTCATATGAGAAGTAGGTAGACATATTTATCCCTCCATCTACTTTAACGTTGTGTTCTCGAATTTGGAAAGAAAATAATGAAAGAGATGGAAAAGAAAGAAATTTTTTTTTTTTTATTTGTGTTCTCGTAAAGAAGGAAAAGAAAAAAAAATAACTTTTCATGTTCTTGAACTTGAGGGAAATGTGTATTTTTTACAAATATATCATTCAAAAATTAGAAAAAGTTGAAAAAAAAACTCAATAAACTTTTTCATTTTGAATGATTTAGTTCTTAAACTATTTTTTTTGAATGAAAAAACCATTAAACTTTTTGTTGAATTACCTACTGATTTAATGATGACCCACTGATCTGTTTCACTATCCTATCAATACTTAATAGTTATTGGTTTATTTGTATATTGATTTCTTGGTACATACTTAAAGCCTTTGGCAAAATCGAAGACTAGCCAATGTGAAGACCATAAGTTACTAATGCGATACTGTGGATCAACTGTTTAAATTATACCTCAAGACTCCAAAGTAGTTGATTTGAAGATTGAAGATGTTTTGAAGCTACTAAACGATTGAAAGAAGATCTTCATGCACCGAGATTTGTAAGTAGCTGTTTGAAGTTACTAATTCATCCAAAAAAGATCTCCTTGCAGACTGACCTGATCTCTGCAAAACTTGTACTTGATAAAAACATTCCTTATCAGTAGGTTTGTCTCTACATGAACAATGTTGTGTGCAGACAGAGTACGATGAAAATATCAACTATGGTCAAGTCAACTTTTGCTTTCTTATCCTGAGGTGACAAGTGTCCTCATGCATTTAATGCATGAAGGTAGTATAAAAGGGAGAGTGCATCTCCCATGCAAACCACGCTTCCATGAATGACTTTCCAAGTGCATTATCAAGATAATCGGCTCTCTTCTTTCACTCTCCTACTCTTCTATGTGTGAAGAAAAAACCTTAGTAGTCTTCATTTTCGTACAAGTAATTCTATGTGTTGTTCTTATAAGTTCTTCTCTGTGTAAGATTGTTTAGGTTAGATTATCATTTTCTTCTTCCGCAACAACCTGTATTGTATCTATATGTGTTAATTCTTGATACTCATTAATAAGAATTAAAAAGTTGAAAAAATCTAAGTAATTGTATCTACAATTAGGGGCTGTTTGTTTGCCTCTTAATGGCGACATTAAGAGGATGCCTCTTAATCGGTGAGAGGTAGAGGCTGTTTGGCAAAAAAAATTGAGCCTCTTAATGGTGACAATTACCTCTTAACGATTTAGCATCCAAGGCTTCACTCAACCATTCAGATACCTTTTCTTCCATCTTTACCCTTCCTTCCACGTCGCCTTCACAATCCTTCCCACTCATCTCCGGTCATCTCCACCGTCACCTTCACTAAGAACAAAAACAACACCATCGCCGTCCACCAGTTTCACGTCGCCGCCATCCACCGTCAACAAATCGTTGAATGTCAACACCATTTACCGTCGCCATGATCGATCAGTCTCTGAACCCTAGCAAACCTGAATAATCGCGAACCCCCTTTAGATTTTTGAAATCTGTCGCGACTGGAACCCTAACTTGCTGGAACCCTAAACTAAGCCATTGCGTTGAAGCTATTGCAATGGCGATACCCTATCTACGAAATCAGTCAAGTTTCAAAAATTTTGGAGTTTCTGTCGAGTTTTCTGCTGTTGCTCGCGAAACCCTTGACGATGCACTGAAGTTCTTCCAGAGTTCGTTTGTTGGTTGAATGTCTGTTTTTCTTTCTTTTCTAATCCAAGGTAATTGCAACTGGTAATGCACTCCATGTTGATTGCTCTTTCCAGTGCTCCTGTTATGCCCCTTCTTTGTTTGGAGATTTTGGATTTAACATACAAGGGTTAAAATGGTAATTTATTGTCATTCAGATAACAGTTACCAAACAACATTATTTCATTCAGCACTTAACTATTCTGACCCTTTTAACTATTCTGACCTCTTAACTATTCTGCACTAAATCATTCAGCAACTGCCAAACAGCCCCTTACTTTATGCTTATTATCATCTCATTCGGGACCAACAACTTTCACAATCTGAATAGTTAAGACCCTAAACTTTTTTTTTAAATAAATAGACTATTGTACTAGTCGGTTAATATAACTTTTTCTGGGTTAGGTAACTAATTCTTAAAAATGCAATGGTAAAAAATGTTTAAAGACTTAATCAATCAAAGAGAGAGATTTTAATGGTTTTTTCATTCAAAAAAGTAATTCAGAGAATTAATCATTGAAAATGAGAAAGTCTAATGGTTGTTTTATTCAAAAAAATAGTTTATGAACTCAACCATTCAAAATGGAAAAAGTTTGTTGGGTTTTTTTTTTAACTTTTCCCTTAAAAATATGTTCTTAATTATGAAAGGTTGGATAATTTTGTAATTTTAATTTTTTAACGGTTTTAATTTCTTTCCTTTTCTTCCATTTCCTCCCACATCTGGAAGGAAAGTTTTGGAAGGAAACTTATAATTTCTTTCCTTTCGTCTCATTTCCTTTTTCTCCTTAAAAAAATTTAAAGAACACAAAAATTCTTTATTTTTTTTTTGTAGGAATTTAATTTTTTATAGAATTATAGCTTTTCTCCTTTTAATTTTTTTTAAAAAAATCTTTATTTTTTTTAAGAATTTAATTTT